AATATTACATGTTAATAACTTGATTGGAATTATAACCTTGAATTGACAGTTTGATACTTTGAAAATTTTGAGCCAGCCCTACCCCCAAGGGCTGTAGGGTGGGGCTCAAAGGAGTCAGTGTGCTAAAATTTCTTCATTTTCCTTGTTAAGAATCAGAGGTGCTAGTTTCAAATCCTTTTTAGTCTGAAATCTGTATGCTAGATATTGAGTAAGGTGGTTTTATTGTTTTTTGTCACTTTGAATAATATTTCTGTTCATGTTAAAAACAAAATCAACTCTCTGTATAAATATATCAGGTGACCGTTAAGGCCCATGGGCCTCTTGTTCATAAAGTATTAAACATTATTCTTAAAACAGGCTAATTATAGCCAAGGCAAAAGGCAGGAAACCATGATAGTTCTATGACTTAACATCTTCATCAATAAAACTAGGTTTGTACACCTCATATAATAGCTTTTATTCCCTGTCCCCAGAGGAAGCCGTGCCCTTGTCTGATACTTATGGGACACCTGTACCCGCAGTGATGAGACTAATGCGGACACTAGCCCAGGCTGGCCGACACATTGCTGCTCACTTGGTAAGTCATCTCTGGACTGTAGATCACACTCACTATGTACGACAGGCACCAGTTTATTATCTGTGAAATTTACTTGTTGTATTTAAAACAGAATTTTGGTTAAAAGCATGTAGGTATTCAACGAAAAACTCGAAAAAAGAAAATGATATGATGGGAACCGTTTATTGCAGGGTAACTGTCACATATTTCACTCTCTGTTATTCTGTAACTCTCTGAATTTATGAATAAATATTAATGAATTTTGGTAAACAGAATACCTTACATAGCAATTCTACTTTAAAAGGATGACATTTAACACTGGGCAAATATGTGCCCCACTGACGGAGAACAAATATTTTCCTTCATGAAAATTAATCAAAATATCTTGTATCTTAAAGTTTTTGGATTATTATCAACACTGATGTATTGTCCTCCAGATATCAACTCACCACCTACACAAAAAGCTGCTTCGGTACCTAGTCGCTGATCAACCAAGGTAAAGTAAAGATACTGATATCTGGAACTTAAGCATGTTGTTTTAATATGTGTTCAACTAAAACAATAGCAATTGTATGATTGCATTAACCAGAAGAAAAAAAAGAAAAAAAAAGAAAAAAAATATTCTTGGGGCACATAGCACACGTATGTTGAGTAACAGAGATTTTTTTTTAGATACAACTAATGGTGCAGATGAATTATTTGTTTGTCTGCATTCAATGTAACCAGGTTCTGTATTTACTAGAGTATCAAGATTTGTTAACTGGAATGTTATAAAGGGTTTAAAGGTGATAACTTTAAAAAGAACATTTTTTTACCAAAAAGAAATGTGCAGTGTCATATGATATTCACTTGAAATTAAAATTGTTTTCAGACACCTTCAGCTGGGTGAGTCGGAGTGTTACCAGTTACAGAAGGAGAGTCTACGTGTCGTCAAAATTTGTTTACTGTATGGCCTGGCCTCTGAAACCTTTATGTAAGTACTGGCCATACAAGCCAATAAGATGAACCATCTTATTGCTTTTTGATATGCTTGTGATTGATGTGTGTGTAATAATGATCTGTTATTGGCCGAGTTAGCTGGTGTGAACCCTGATAAACACATGTATCTACGTTTCTTATCACCGCAATTAGTGAGTTCTGCATTGTTGTATATTTCTGTCAAGGGGTCCCCCAGTTTCCATGCAAATTCTTTGAAACTTGGTAGGACTGAACACTGTCAGTCAAATTTATCTAAAAACAACTTTCTGTGTTTCAACAAAAATTGCACAATTTTTTTCGTGTTTTGTTTTATAATTATTATATACCCCTGCCATATGTCTGTTGGGTATGGGATAGATAAAGTTTTTTTTCATTTTGGTCAGGCCAACTTAATCATATTAATTCCTATTCCACTTGCTTGTTAATGGATAAGTAGTCTTCAGATGTATTACTTTGTCCATATACTTTCAGCGACTTGTTTCCAACATTTGTGAAACAGCTTCAGCAGCTCCAGAGGGATGTTACTGATGATTCGGTCAGTTCTCATAAGATGGAGCTGTACGTCGAGCTTGTAGGTGTCTTGGAGGGGGCAGTTCACTTAGCCGGAACAGCTGTAACAGCCAATCAGAAAGCGGCATTTGTTAGGAGGTATTTATTCTGATGTGACATACGTAACTGAAACCTCTGCAAACTTTTATATGGTTGAACTTTGGTTTGCTATATTCTACCTCATATCTGACCTTAAACTTTTGACTGAGATGATATTGGTAAGAATATTGTTTTTCTACATTATGTGATGTTATTTGTAAATAGATGTACAGAATGAATAACAAAAAATATGTTTTTACTCTAAATATAGTACTCATTTTTAAAAATAAGATTCTTGAGATTTGTTTGAACAACACAGCAGTTAGGGTCAAGTGAGACTAAAATAAATGTTCAGGCTGTTGTGCTTCTTGTAATCACCACAGACAGAAAAAGGTCTGATCTTAGAGTACTTTTTATAGTTGGACCATTCAAAACACTCAAAAACAGTCCATAACAAAATATAAGGAGGCTTGGAAAACTACTTGTCACTTACACAAATACGATATGATGTGATACTTCCTTTGTTTTGTCTCAGACTTTAACCACTTTAATCTCAATTCCAGTGAAGACGGTATGTCCTCCGAGGCTGCTAAGACTGAGGTGGCTGCCATGCCGACCCTGAATTGGGGTCATGTGGCTGACCTTCTACATCCCTTGATGTGTGTTCTACAGACACATTTGACCGAGATTAAGGACACCTATCAAATACAGGTCAGTAGTATGTAATTAAATGAAAGTCTGTGCAGATGTGTAAATAAAATGATTACATAACAATGATTTCATTACAACACATTGCAAATGTTATGTCTCCGTAATAGTTTCGAGATGAAACCTGCTTTTCAGGTCAAAGAATAGACTTGCTGTATCTCACTCTATGTTATCCTAAACGGCGACTTAATGTTGAACCCTCTGCTGAGTTGGGGATTTTCTATTGTGTCTGTGGCTTAAGGGACATTGCAGAAATCCAAATTAATCTGCTGCCCCGTTTGCAACTCTTTGGATCTATGACGTTTTGTTTTCCACTTCTCCCTAGGCACCCTTTGATGTTTTCCACTTCTCCCTAGGCGCCCCTTGTTGTTCCCACTTCTCCCTAGACACTTGCTGTTTCCCACTTCTCCCTAGGCACCCTTTGTTGTTTCCCCCTTCTCCCTAGGCGCCCCTTGGTGTTTCCCACTTTTCCCTTGGCCCCCCTTGTTTTTCCCACTTCTCCCTAGACACTTGCTGTTTCCCACTTCTCCCTAGGCGCCCCTTGGTGTTTCCCACTTTTCCCTTGGCCCCCCTTGTTTTTCCCACTTCTCCCTAGACACTTGCTGTTTCCCACTTCTCCCTAGGAGCCCCTTGTTGTTTCCCACTTTTCCCTTGGCTCCCCTTGTTGTTCCCACTTCTCCCTAGACCCTTGTTGTTTCCCACTTCTCCCTTGGCACCCCTTGTTGTTCCCTCTTCTCCCTAGACACTTGTTGTTTCCCACTTCTCCCTAGGCACCCTTTGATGTTTTCCGCTTCTCCCTAGGCACCCCTTGTTGATTTCCACTTCTCCCTAGGCACACCTTGTTGTTTTCCACTTCTCCCTAGACACCCTTTGATGTTTTCCACTTCTCCCTAGGCCCCCTTTGATGTTTTCCACTTCTCCCTAGGCTCCCTTTGATGTTTTCCACTTCTCCCTAGGCGCCCTTTGATGTTTTCCACTTCTCCCTAGGCACCCTTTGTTGTTTTCCACTTCTCCCTTGGCACCCTTTGTTGTTTTCCACTTCTCCCTAGGCACCCCTCGTTGTTTTCCACTTCTCCCTAGGCGCCCTTTGATGTTTTCCACTTCTCCCTAGGCCCCCTTTGATGTTTTCCACTTCTCCCTAGGCCCCCTTTGATGTTTTCCACTTCTCCCTAGGCGCCCCTTGGTGTTTCCCACTTTTCCCTTGGCCCCCCTTGTTTTTCCCACTTCCCCCTAGACACTTGTTGTTTCCCACTTCTCCCTAGGCGCCCCTTGTTGTTCCCACTTCTCCCTAGACACTTGTTGTTTCCCACTTCTCCCTAGGCACCCCTCGTTGTTTTCCACTTCTCCCTAGACACCCTTTGATGTTTTCCACTTCTCCCTAGGCTCCCTTTGATGTTTTCCACTTCTCCCTAGGCCCCCTTTGATGTTTTCCACTTCTCCCTAGGCCCCCTTTGTTGTTTCCCACTTCTCCCTTGGCACCCCTTGTTGTTCCCTCTTCTCCCTAGACACTTGTTGTTTCCCACTTCTCCCTAGGCACCCTTTGTTGTTTTCCACTTCTCCCTCGGCACCCCTTGTTGTTTTCCACCTCTCCCTAGGCACCCCTTGTTGTTTTCTACTTCTCCCTAGGCACCCTTTGTTGTTTCCCCCTTCTCCCTAGGCACCCCTTGTTGTTTCCCACTTCTCCCTAGGCGCCCCTTGTTGTTTCCCACTTTTCCCTTGGCACCCCTTGTTGTTCCCACTTCTCCCTAGACACTTGTTGTTTCCCACTTCTCCCTAGGCACCCCTTGTTGTTTTCCACTTCTCCCTCGGCACCCCTTGTTGTTTCCCACTTCTCCCTTGGCACCCATTTTCGTTTGCTGTTGGAAGGATGTTATCACTCATGCAACCATACAAACAAAATCTTATGTATCTTTGTTTGTTTGGGGTTTAACGGCCTCACAACAGCCGTGATAATCTGAGGACAGGTAACTAGGGAGACACATTGTCATAAAAGGAGGCGACTAATGTGGTTCCTCTAATAGGAGGTGACTAATGTGGCTCCCCTAATAGGAGGTGACTAATGTGGCTCTCCTAATAGGAGGTGACTAATGTGACTCCCCCAATAGGAGGCGACTAATGTGGCTCCCCTAATAGGAGGTGACTAATGTGGCTCCCCTAATAGGAGATGACTAATGTGACTTCCCTAATAGGAGGTGACTAATGTGACTCCCCTAATAGGAGGTGACTAATGTGACTCCCTTAATAGGAGGTGACAAATGTGGCCCCCCTAATAGGAGGTGACTAATGTGCCTCCCCTTATAGGAGGTGACTAATGTGTCTCCCCTAATAGGTGACTTATGTGGCTCCACTAATAGGAGGTGACTAATGTGACTCCCCTAATAGGCGGTGACTAATGTGACTCCCCTTATACGAGGTGACTAATGTGGCTCCCCTAAGAGGAGGTGACTAATGTGACTCCCCTTATAGGAGGTGACTAATGTGACTCCCCTAATAGGAGGCGACAAATGAGGCTCCCCTAATAGGAGGTGACTAATATGGCTCCCCTAATAGGAGATGACTAATGTGACTCCCCTAATAGGAGGTGACAAATGTAGCTCCCCTAATAGGAGGTGACTAATATGGCTCCCCTAATAGGAGATGACTAATGTGACTCCCCTAATAGGCGGTGACTAATGTGGCTCCCCTAATAGGGGACTTATGTGGCTCCCCTAATAGGAGGTGCCTAATGTGACTCCCCTTATAGGAGGGGACTAATGTGACTCCCTTAATAGGAGGTGACTAATGTGGCTCCCCTAATAGGCGGTGACTAATGTGGCTCCCCTAATATGTGACTTATGTGGCTCCCCTAATAGGCGGTGACTAATGTGGCTCCCCTAATATGTGACTTATGTGGCTCCCCTAATAGGAGGGGACTAATGTGACTCCCTTAATAGGAGGTGACAAATGTGGCTCCCCTAATAGGAGGGGACTAATGTGACTCCCTTAATAGGAGGTGACAAATGTGGCTCCCCTAATAGGAGGTGACTAATGTGGCTCCCCTAATAGGTGACTTATGTGGCTCCCCTAATAGGAGGTGACTAATGTGACTCCCCTTATAGGAGGTGACTAATGTGACTCCCCTAATAGGAGGTGACAAATGTGGCTCCCCTAATAGGAGGTGACTAATGTGACTCCCCTAATAGGAGGGGACAAATGTGGCTCCCCTAATAGGAGGTGACTAATGTGACTCCCCTAATAGAATCATACATTTTTTTCTGTGTTTACTGCCCAATATTGTAGAATCTTATTTTAGAAATTTAGAAAATTAGAGATTTTAAAATCATAGTTCCATTGTTTTAAAACTGAGGTTATGCTTTGTACAATTGCTAATATCACTGTTTCAACATGGTTAGCTAAGTGATACACTTGTTTTTTCCTCTTTACAAAGATTGGTGTTGTGTTAACAGAAGCAGAGTCTACAGCTTTCCGTGGCCTGTATCAACTTTGTGACATCTTATTACGCACGCTGGCAGGCACAAGTGTCGGTCAGTGCTGTGGTCATTCTACAGAGTGTGGAGGATTATCTGACCACCGTTCTGGAGCCATGCTGGTCAGGGTTCGGGTTCCAGGTCATTTTCTCCAATCTCAGGTAAGTTCTGCCCCCTAGTGGTAAAAGTAAACGTTGTTGTGTTCAAAGTGATGGAGTCATATGGTTGTAAGCTCATAAGGATAAAAGTTTAGAATTTATATGATTACCAATTACATATAATTATGTTCATTACTTGTTAATAACAAAATATTATTTGATAATTATGCGTTTAATTTTATATATTCAAAGCATATTTTTATCATTATTGCAGTAACCATTCACAGCTGTTGAGTACATCTAAGCCCCCTGTCAGAGAGGTAACACCTAGTAACCCAGATCTAGGGTGTACAGAGATTGACGAGTGCCAACATCCAATTCTCACTACAGGGACACCCTACGGCCTGGCGACAGCCGTTCTCAGACAGCTGTACACTCTGTGTAGTGTACACAAGGGCATCCAGGCCAGGGTAAGTGGAGTATGTACTGGGGATCATCCCTCCCGATAAACGGAGTATCTACTGTGAAATCACTTATTTTCGTGTTGTTTTTAATTCTGATGATTTTGTTGGTAATTTTCATCCACAAATTCAGAAGTCGACAAAGTAATTACAAGTTTGATATAAAGCAGTTCTCTGTTTGAAGGGCACTCGTAATCCAAGAATTCATGTACCCATGAAATCGTGTTTTGCTGGGAAACCACAAAATTAGGGACCCACGAAAATATCTAATTTCACAGTATACTTCGGTTAACCCTTTCTCCCCTATGTAACTTTAGTAGACTCTACCATGCATTGCTATGGATGAGTCTGTTATGGTCTACAGTGGTGAAAGGGTTAACTTACTTCACCTGACCTTGAGATCACAAACAGGTCGTCTCTTGATAGTTCTGCTGTGATGTTACACTATGAGATTTAAGCTCAAATTGAAAGTCTTGTTATACTGGTACCTGGGTTTAAACTATTGAAAGGTATGATCAGGTCACTGCCTTTCACGTCAAGGTCAAAGGTCAAATAAATTTGATATTTTCAGTCAAACTTGTCTGCCCTATAATTTTAGGACTTTCCAATGGATTTTGATGAATGTTGAGATATATGTGTTACATCTACATACCTACATGGACAGATGTGTGGCATACCATACAATTAGGTATCATTGACTTTCATCTCTAGATCAAAGTGCAAATTTCATAAACTGTTCAATATAAATTGATGAAACTTTAAATATACATATTATTCAAAGTTGACGAGCAGAACACTTATAATGAGATCACAGTGACCTACATCTCAAAGTCAAATATCTCATTTTCACATACCCGGCTCATTTGAAAAATAACAAGATGCATATTGACTTTTTTAATGTGGAATCTTTGTTGAGGGTTTTGCATCCTCACAATGTCAATAGGTCATAGTTACCAAAGATTTTACCCATGGTATAATGTTTTACATAATAATTTTACTCAAGGTAATTTTATTGAGGGTGTATTTAACTACAGGTGTTACCTTGGGTGCTGGGTCATAAAGATCTGTGGGTTTACCTAAGGAAGACGTCTACCAGCATATCACATCTCCATGGCAACCACTTCACCAAGTTTGAAAACATCCTTCATTATTTTTACCTTAAGCTGACCTGTATGACGGTAAGCAATCTCTTCTACAACGAGGAAGGAGGGGAGATTCTTTGTATTTTTCACTCGTCAGATGTGTTTTAAAACAGTTCAGGGTCATCCAAGGTAGAAAGTATTATGATAACTGTGGAATTGTTGTGGAAATTTTTTAATTTCTTTGTGAATAATATTAGTTCTTTTAGGTCTGAATTTTAAGACTTAGTATTGAACTAGAGGATGACAATATACTATTATTAACCCTTTTTTTATATTTTTGTCTTAATTAACTCAATTCTCATATGAAGGTAAATGTTTGTGAAACATTCATTGATGACCTGTAAATAATTGTACAGAGTCCGGAGCAGACAAAGCTTGACCACTCTGTGATACAGAGGCTGACCTTGACCTTGTTGATAAGACTCCACCACGGAAGTGAGCACCTCGTCCACGACCTCCTGTCCACGGTCCTGTTCAGTCCCAGTTTGTGGAGGTACACACTTGACTATATAGTATAACCTGTCTAAATTGAACTCTGTGTTATCCAGATTTCCAGGTTTAAACCTCGGTGTGCCAATTTATTAATATATTGGCAAAGGTTGTGCTTCCTGTGATAAACTTAGTACATCATTCAGGGTGGCATTTTGTGAAAACATTTCTGGTCCTCTCTTAATTAGTCCCCCACTGGTTCTTGGGGAGGGGACTATAGGTTTGCACTCCGTCCGTCCTTCCACCCGAGAAGTTTGTCCGGGACAGATCTTCTATACTATTTCACCTGGAAAAACCGGCTTTGGTGTACCATGGACATCTTGGGATGGCGGAGTGCAGAGTGCAAAGAGAAGGTCACTGTGACCTATGCTTTGACCTTTGACCTTAACTTTTGAAAAAGTTCATCTAGGGCATATCTTCTATACTTTTTCACCTGGAGTAACCAGATTTGATTTACAAGGACATCTTGGGATGGTGGAGTGCAAGAAGTAGGTCACTAGGACCTCACCGTGACCTATGCTTCCAGACATAAGTGTACTGTTTGTTTAATTTAGAAATCATTATGCCTTGCAATACTTTGCCTTGTTTCTCTTCAAGTGAAAAAGAAGATGTGTTTCAGTAGATATATTTATTTTTACCATAGTTGTTAAGTACATAACACTTATTTTTTCGAGAAAATAGTTCTATGTATTTGTGTTAAGATTTATTCTTATGTAAGAAAGCAATCTGTTATAGAGCTGTAGGTGATGACAGTGCATGTGGAGACTTGGCCGACCTCAAGCTGTCCGACACTCAGCATGTCACTCAAATCACACAGGAGCACCCTGCCCCTAGGAAAGAGCTCTTACAGAGATGCTATACGCGGCTAAACGCACTCCGTGCTACCTACCTCAGCTCCTTTAGTCACAGCGAGAAATTCGCTCACAGATCCAGGTAAGATTTACATATATATTTACATTTCCACTACAAGTTCCTCTATAAGCATAAAAAATTGCATTTATAGAGCAATGAACGCAATTTGATCAGCATCATTTTGAAGCTTCTCCTCCCACCTTGATTAACATGGGACAACCATTAGAATCAAACATTTTGGTGATGTTAGGCTGTTCCAGGACTCTTGTTTGCGCTGACATCACAGATATTTTCATGTAGGAAAAATAAGTGAATGTCTATATTAAGGTCAATAATAACTAAATATTTCGAATGTAAATAAAGGAATTGAACGGTATTTTTCTAGTGTTCATGCAGGCATGAACGCAATCGGTTACATATTACCAGGAAGCCCCGCATGAAGATGTATCTAACCGATTTAGGTTCATACCAGATGAAATTTAAAAAATGCCAATCAATCCTTATATATATATGTCATTGTTCATAGTGAGGTACCAGTAAAAGGTAATATTTTAAAGTAACTAAAAATAATTTTCCATCTTAATACATAGGTCTGTTGAAGGTCCTGGTACCAAATAGGATATGTTTACACATGTATGGTTGATTTTCTTGATCCATATCTCTTGTTTTATATCTCCTACTATTTGTTTTTCTTAGGTATTGTTTCACCATGACTCCACTTCAGACAGAGAAGTTTTTCACCCCACGGTCAGGAGAGTGTCTAATGCCCTGTGATTGGATGTTTGTCCCACTTATTGACCTGTACAATGTCTTCAGTTCTGTGTAAGTTACATACAGAACATACGATTTTGGCTTTAGTCTTGCCTACAGTGTAATGTCATAACGTTTGTCTCACTTTTCTGTAGGTTGTGTATATTTTATATAATAACCTGTCTCTTTTGAAGAGAAAGTGAAATGAGTTACCAAGATGGCAAACATTTGTGAACAGGGGGATGCTCGCAATTAAGGCCCCTTCATAATTTCAGTCAACTTTGTTAAAGTAAGGGATGGGGGCTTGTTTGCAGTAAAATATGGTATGTTGTTTTCTGTTGATATAATTTGAACTAAGTCATAGGAGCTGTTTAAAACTGAGTTTGATTAAGCTCTCTGTTTGAAATGTAGTATGAAGTATATGTTTAACCTATACAGGGGTGGAGAAGTCCAGAATGCGCTGTCCGTGAGTCAGCTGGACACAGTGACCGCAGTCCTGCAGTGGATCTACCTACTGGAGGCCTGTCAGGGAGACAAGATGGCCACCATCTCCATCACACTCAAAGTGTCACGTATCATGTGTACTTTCCTCACAGGTGTGTAGCTGCTTGTCCTGTAATGGATATTCGACCAGCAAAAGGCTATCTTCAAACATCTATTCTAAATGTAACAGAGGCCTTCTCTTTTTCCCCAGTGCCTCTGTTTGGGATCAAACCTGGGACTTCTTGTTTACTTGTTTTAGACTCTACAAAATGAGCGTAAGAGAAATTCTCCCTAGCCAAGTTGAGGTAGTAGGCGGCAAGAATTTGTTCAGGGTGACATATATGATAAATATGTTTTATGCCGGACTTTTGTAATTTATAAAGTATATTCAGCAGTATACCAGCTTTTAGACAACTTTGAAACTTATTTCGAGTTTATTTTGCTTTAATTGAGTAGTTGCAACGAAAGAATTTCATAAACATGGACACTGTCCGATCATTGTTATTTAGGTATTGTACTATTTGGATCATCAAGTATAGCTGTGTGTGAACTGATGACATTTGACTGGTTGTAGGTAACGATCTGTTCCTTGACCGGACTGTCCACTGCTACCTAGAGGCCCTACTCCAACAGTACACCACACCAGCCCTCCTGCACAAGCTGGACTTTGAGGAAGATATTCCTGGACTTGTGTCCTTCTACGACTTGTAAGTCCTTGTTGCCACTTGTCTTTCTATGACGTGTAAGTCCTTGTCTCCGTTTGTCCTTCCACTAGTAAGTCCTTGTTGCCACTTGTCTTTCTATGACGTGTAAGTCCTTGTCTCCGTTTGTCCTTCCACTAGTAAGTCCTTGTT